TGTTTTATTGAGGGTTTCAGGGTCAAGAAGAGGTGACCGATAGGTTAGAACACGTTTTCGACCCCAACTGTCAGGCGGCATTTTCGGCCACCCGGGCACCGACGTGGCCCCGCCGGCTTCCGGGCGCTCTGCCCCGGAAGTTATAGGGTAAAATGAAACAAACTATACACCAAAATGCTCCAAATTTATTAAGCGTGAAAATCTCATGTCGATAGCTGCCATATCGGCGACGCTACAGGCGTCGCCGAACTTTGATCTTTGACCTGCCAAAACTATAAGCCAAATATTGACCTATCTCAAAAGTTACTTACGCAATCGCGAGCTCTCGTCGAGAGCAATACGCTGTTTTTCCGCTAGGCTCTAAGTCGCCGCGTTTCAAAACAGCAGAGGGGTCGCACCCCCCCCCCCTCCCTAGGAAGGATGGCGAAATGCCGTCTACGGGCGAGGGTTAAATTTTTAAATTGCAAAGCTCTTAAAACGACTCGGGCAACTTTTTAGCGGTAATACCGAGGGGCACGCATTAATGACGCATGCCCAATAAATATGAATTATTATATCACATTGACGTTACGTTACCATATAGTTGTGGAGAAACAAAAAGTCTAGTTCAGACAGAATGGCGGTGGCCAATAGGAAACTTGTAGCAATTTCCGCTGATAGTTCGGCTGGATTTCCTGTGATATTTGTGCTCCCGGTACCTATTTGATATTAACGGATTTTTTTATTGAGGTTAGATGAGCACTTTTTCTTAGAAACGCGGCAAACTTCCATTCATAATAGCTAAAAAAGTGTGTTCATGGTCTGGAAGAGCAGGGCGAAAAGCAAGAAGCAAAACCATAAAAAAAATCAGGAGTTATTTTCATTTATAAGACGAGGGGGTGAGAGCAAAGATGGCGAGGAATTTAAAGGAAAAGTGCCACCTTCTTGAAATATGAAGATATCGTTGGTTTTTATTTTGACATTATTATTTTCCATTTTCTTTTCAAAACCGGTGCCAGAAGTGCATAGTTCGCTAAAAAGTATTTCAAACTATTTAACATATTGGTACTATGTTTATACTCTCTACCGCAGCTACTGTATGATGTCATAGCAATGACGTCACACTCAAGCCAATCAGCCTTGAGGAGGATAGACTCGTCGGACTGTAGCGGTTGTAAACAACTTGTCGCCCCGTGTGTCGACCCGTGGCGCTAGTTATCTGTCGGAGGTAAGGGTGAAAGATGCATATAATGGCCATGGAACGCTATTTTAGGATTATTGGTGAATAGCAAGAATATAGTTTTGGTGGTTTGAAATTGTTTGTCCTCAGTGATTGGCTTGATTCTCATTTTGCGGCATAAGCGGCTGTTTGGTTACATTGCATTTTTTATGATTGTGTAATTATTATTATTATGTTCCTCCAAAGTAGGCATCACATATCAATCTCAAAGGCAGATCATCTTCTTTTCATGCCTATAATTTTCTTCAAGAATATTAATAAAAAATATTTCATTTACCCCTGCCTATCATATCATATCCCATGGAGCTTGCCAGTGAAAGTTACTTTCAGGCATGCAAAGTAGAAAGTAGGCATGCAATGTGACCTAGCATTGGCGATGTGGTTAATTAGCTTTAAAGTACTATTGAATGCTAAAGGTCATCATTTAGAATGGTTTTCAAAACATTCCACTAGGAAATATTCATTGAAACCTGAAAATTACTTACAAAATGTAAATGTATAGCCACGTCTCAAGAGCATTCAGCCCTCTTCTCAGTAAATATATAATGAAACATAATCTTACCTGACCTAGCCTTACCTACAACCTACAACGTATGGCATTGGTAAAGCTGGCAGCACTGTCAGCGTATATTAGTTTGGTAGGTTGTAGGTAGGTAGGTTGTAGGTTGTAGGTCAGTAGGTAAGGTTAGGTTAGGTTAGATTGTTTTTAAGCTTCCTTTTATCTACACATTTACCGGTTAGCGCTGACGGTGACACCAGCTTTACCGATACCCGACCTACCACCTACAACCTACAACCTAAAACCTACATTCAATGGTGGCGGGTGGTGATAATTGTTATACCTATATGATAATACAAGAGATAAATACCATACAGATTAGCTGGTATCCATGACACACTTTCTTATGAAGAAGGTCTTCTATTAAATCATGTCTATATTATAGGAATCAAATGATTTTTGTTGTAGTCACATTCCCTACTCTGACCATCATGTCTGATTATTTCCAGTTACCACTGACAATGCCCAAAACAAGAACAACAAAGGCCCAAAGGTGGCTGTTTGATAGTGCGCAAAGCTGCTGGTAAGTGGCATCAAAGGATAGGATGTGCTTTTTTATTTCCAGGCACGTAGCCAGCTGCCAGGATTTTGCTCAGGGGGGGGGGGGGGTCACAGGTTGTGGCCTAGTGTTGTACCCCCTCCAAAAAAGGAAAATTTCTCGGATTAGGCCCACTATTTTGGGGGTGTGTCACAGCTGTTTTTATTTAAAAAAAAATTCGCCATCACCGAGGGGGGAAGGGGCACGAGGGCATGACTCCCGTGCCCCTCGCCCCTCCTTGGTTACGTCCTTGGTTATTTCTTAGAGTTTGGATATAACAAAGCTTTAGATGTAACTTAGAATGTAATAAGAAGCTTTCAGCATTGCACCTTTCCAGACACTGATAATTCATTTGCCTTTATTGTTTCAAAAGTCAATTTTCAACACAAAAAAAGTTGAAATTATTAACTCAAATAATTGCAAATATATACTTTGGTAATTTGCCTTTCGCATCACTATCAACAAAATAATCAAGGGTGACTAAATATGAAATGTTCCTGCATGATCTTCATCGTGAACAATTGTCAAGGTATGATGTTTGCGTGTTGAAATGTTATAAAGAACTTATGTCATAAAAACACAACTTGTAAAATTGTGTCTTTCCATATTATTCTGCAAGGAAGCCTTGGAAGGAAGAGACACTATTCCGTCCTACAGAAGCCATTTAGAAATGTGTGACATGTTCAGCACTTTGAGTCAGTCGGTGCCCGGACCTCAGTCGGCTGTATGACCGTCTCCTCGTCCTCTTTTGTCGGCTCCGCCCCGTGCTGTTTCTATAAGGGTGTCTGACCCGCTGCCGCTATCCCCACTGTGAGGTCTGACCCGCCGCGCGCTGTCACCACTGTCGGCCCTCTGTGTGCGCGGCAGGTGGTGGTGGATGTCTCTGCTCTGACGCGCGGCGTGCGCCTGCTCAGTGTGGAGGTGCCGCTAACAGCGGTGCCAGCCGGAGCGGCTGCCTCGCCGGCGGCCGACATTGAGCGCGGCACGTGTCAGCCGCCGTTCGGGACGCTGCAGCTGCTCCAGTCGGCGGCGCAGCTGTCCGTCTCCGTGTCACTGGCCGTGCCGCTGGACCTGCTGCCGCGGCCGGCGCCGGCGCGCTGCGCCTATGGCCGACTGCTGGCCGTGGTCTCGCAGCGCGGCCTGCAACGCAGCGGCGTGCTGCAGCTCATCCAACAGCTCAACGAGCCGCCCAGCCCGGCGGCGGCCGAGGGCACCGCACCGCGCCGGCCGGGCGACGTCAGCACACCTGGCATCAGCGGCTTCTGCCTGGCCGACCGTCAGCTGCACCTGCTGTTCGCCGAGGGGCGCGCCGACGCCGAGCTGGAACAGACGGCGGCCGCGCCGCGCGCTCTGCCGCGCCGCGGCGCTCGACTCTGCCATCACTCGGGCCTGAGGTTTAGGGAGCGCCTGTACCCGCGCCAGCCGGCCGCGTTCCGCGTGCTCGAGGACCGCCCGCTACGCGCCCAGCTGCTCGACACCCGCCTCTACACGTCACAGAAACAGGAGCCGGCGCGCGCCGTCCGCGCCATCAGAGAGTGCTTCCGCACGCAGTGGCTGTCGGAAAATGAACCTGCTTCCCAACGAGGCCGGCCTGCAACAACTGCTGGCCGGCTGTTGACCGAAAAAAAAACGCCTTCAACCGGATGTCAGTTGTCAAATCAACGCGTATTAATGCATTCACTAGGATGGGCTTACGTAAAGCTGTAGAATTGCAAATATATAATGGCACTGTTTTTGATCCGTTCGGTATGCATTGGTATCATATGATCTATCATTCACAGACGATCAGCTGCGAAGACCCAGATCCGTAGTAGAGGGCTCATCGAGTCTGGGTCCAGCTCCCCGTACTTCCTCCACTTTGGAAACACCGCAGCGCAGACCACAGTTATACATAATATTTAGTTTTCATTCACTTCGTAGGTGATATGCTGCTTGAGTTGCACCCCGGTATATCAATACGAAGCTTCCGTCCCTGCCACATACCAGTGAAGGAGGCGGCGGCGGCGGCGGCCGGGGCCGGGCTGCCCTGCCCACCGACACAGTCTGTGAAATGCCCCAACAACCTTTAAAATTCAACAGGCTTCATAAATGTTTTTTTGCACCATATTTTCTCGCGTATATGAAAGCTCTAAAATGTACAATATTCCTTTCAGCCGCAAGCGATATAAAAGCTCTACAAAACGTCATGTCTCTGTGTGCAAGAAAGACATATATTGTGTATAATCGAGCGTACATGATCTGTAGCGCTGCGGAGGGCTGCTCGGTTGCCGCTTTTTACCAGTCGGCTCTAGGTCGGACATATGGGTAAACAAAATGGAATAGTAATATTAAACAATGCTACCTGCTGATGCTACTGGGCCTCTCATTGGTGAAGAACTGGCAGCCAGCCAGCGTGTTTTTGTGAGAACTGTTATAACAGCAGCAACCGAACGGCTCTCGGGCCAGCGACCAGTGAGCGTAGACAGCACAGCGCTCCGTTAGGCATCGGCGGGCAAGCACGCATTAGCTGTGGACGGACCGGCCGCCCGAACATATTTGTCGGTATCGAAAGTATCGTGAACCAAATGACTGCTAGCGAAAAACGGACTGCCTCTCGTATCCATGAAAACATGTGCTCTACAAAAGTACATAATTGCTTAGTTGTCGCCAGTCACTCATTGCACCATGGCGTCAGTGTAGGGCCGCGCCCTGAATCATCTCAATCGCCAGGCAAAGCATCTCAATCGACAGGCACATGGTAGTCCAGCTACGAATCCGAGCCGCGGCATCCCGTCTATGTATCTACATTACACCACAATCGAACACTGTCGGGCCACCCGAGACAGCAGTCTCCAATGTAACATCAAAACACGCCACTCGTCTAATATCAGAAAAATGAGCATTGAGTACCTACCGAATATCGACTACAGAAGATTACAATGGGGTGCAGATCTAGCAAGAGTCGCGGTTCGTCTCGGCACGGCTTACAGGCCGCCGTGCCCGCGCAGGTGACCGCCAGCTCCACCTGTTCCACCTCCGGCGCGGAAGCTCGATCACAAGACTGACATCAGTCGGCGCTCTGTGCTCGGCACAGGGCGACCGGGTCAGGAGCGGGCCGCTGCCGCCAGATGCGCGCCACGGCGTCATTGGGGCTTCCCTGAGCAGGATCGAACCAGAGCTGCATGCACGGCTCCGTATCCGCCGTGAACTTCCACGAGTGATCCCACACCTGAAAAAGGCGCACGGTTTGCGTCACAGCTCGGCTCACTTTCACAGCCCACGCACCGGCAGCAATTAAGGGCTACTTAGATAGTGTGCTAATAGAGCGCAATCACTTAGCTTAATCCATATAGAGTCAACCATGAATTGTTAATTACGAGCGAGCGAGCGAAGCGAAGTCTTTTCAATGTCACGGAAAAAGCTCAGTATGAGCGGCCCGACCCGGGACGGCCTGTAACGCTTTTGAGAGGCTTATATCTCAGCAACCGCTGGACCGATTGGCCTGCGGTCTTTTTTTTTTTGTTGGGTAGTCCTATTCCCTCTACCCCGTAATTGACTACTCTTGATACATTTCAGGGACCGTCGTGGCACGTGCCACGTGAAAAGTCAAGGGTGTTATTTGTCAAAAGTTGCAAAAGAAGTGATTTTGAGAGGCTCATATCTCAGCAGCCGCTTGGGCGGTCTTGCGGTAAATTTTGTAGGGTAGCTGCACCCCTTCAACCAAAGGTCGGATGCTCTTGATCTATGTGAGTGACCCCCACTGCACGTGCAAAATGCAAAAAGAAGAGGTGCCGAATTTGTTCCCATTTCAATAACTCTGTAATTACTGGGGCGATTTAGCTGAAACTTGGCATACAGGTAGGCAGTAGGCACCCACCAGGTAATGCATTCCCATATGTTGCGGTTAGGGTGCTACTGCACGTGCGCACGTGCAGGGGGGGCGCTTCCAGATCTCGAGAACGGCTGGGCCGATTGCGTTCAAATTTGGTACCTACACGGTTGGGGACCGGTTAGTAGGGTGCCGTGCAAAAGTCAGTATGGACCCCGTTTGCACGTGCGCACGTGCAGAATGCCGCTTCCAGATCTCAGGAACGGCTGGACCGATTGTGTTCAAATTTGGCACACCGCTAGCGACCCGCGACCGGTTAGAAGGGTGCTTCGCACAAGCCCGTTGGAAGTACCTCTCTATCTCGCTCGCTCGTTCTTCGTCCAAAAGGTGTTTTACTGGTATTATCTGTCTGGCTTATCTCATTTAGTTGTCATTTGTTTTGTGGGTATAATTGTGTTTCTCCCTTTCAGTTATTCAAATAAAAGGGAAATAAACAGGTTTAACCTACCTACATACCTACACATACCTGCACATGTAGGTTTACCTACATACCTACAACAGGCTGACCGCCCCCGAGTGCACAACAAGTTAAGTTAGTGTATTATGTGTAAAATAAAGGACGCTTGAATCTTACCTGAGTGATGTCCATTTCTTGATCACTTTCATCTGTGGGTGACCGAGCAGCGACAGCAACCCAAGGCGTATACGGAATCTGTAAAAAATCAGCACACCGTTACCACATGTTTTAATAAAACTTACCTATAGGGAGGTAGCATAAAATATAGATCAAAACAATAACATACAAACATACAGATATTCGGTTAGGTTGAAATGGCTAAAAAATATAAAAAATAAGGGCAAGGTACTAAGGCTGTAAAGCTGTAAGGGCTCGGTACTAGTAATAATTTTTGGCTAAAAATATCACAAATAAAGACTGCACTAAAGCTGTAATGTCTGGTACTAGGAATAACTTTAGAGTGAAGTGTTACAAAAAACAATATTCAAAGTCTTTTGATAATTTTTTTTTAAACAATATAGCAGGCATTTTCATCACTTCTAAAAAATAACTTACATTCTGATCCGGCACAGCACTGTTCTTTAGACGCAAACGTTTTTGACTGTGCTTATCATGGTGCGCACTTCTTGTTAAGTTTAAGTGGTCATGTGGTCTTGGCTCATTGGTCATGCCACACACCCTCATCCACTTTTCTCTGTACTTCTTTTTTTTGCGGGAACCTAAAAGTAAAAAATGGTCAACACATGCTTAGTCCATGCAACACATACTCTGTGTATTAAGCTGAATAGCTCCACTGAGCCCAGTTTCACCAAGTGCGGTAAACTTAATTTTGGGGTAGTTTTTGTAGTTAAGTAGTGGGGTAGTTTGATAGTTTACCCCAAATTGAGTTTACTGCACTTGGTGAAACTGGGCTCTGGTGAGTTTCCTTTTCTTGTCAGCACATAAGTGAAAGAAAACTGTGTAGACAAGAGATGAACCAAACCCCCATGGAAAGGTAGGTGTTACCACAACCAGGAAATGGGATTTGAAGGGCTGGATAAATGTGTCTGAGTTCTACCTTTCAGCCAGACTGGAAAACATCCATACACTACGCCGGACGCCCGCGAGCCCCTCATGCGCCAAAATTTGAAGCAAGCAATTTTGAGCTGAAATTCCAGTGCATGATTTCCACTGAAAGTTGGGTGCCTGTTTGCACCAAAATTAAGTCACTTTTACATAAAGCACATGTGCATATCTACCGACCAAGGCTATATCAACCAGACAGATTGTTCCAGGGCCTCAGAGTCAGACGCTCTTCCCTTTCTGAGCGTCTGAACTCTGAATTAATGTTCCCATGAAAACCCAATACCACAATATGTGTGGCACACTGTAGAATCTTAAGGTGAAACAAGCCCCAGGCTGGAAGTTCCGACTCTCTTCAGACCTGCCAGCGCCCGCAGGGCAAGTCTGCTGCTAGATTGACCACAGCGTGTCAAAAAATTCGGTGACAGCCATTTGCATAAACATTATGCGCCATGCGGTCACCCTGCGCCTAAAAATTCAGCTGCCACCATGCGCTGAATTTGACGCATGCAAAATTATGCTGGATGTGCGATGAAATTTTTGGGGCAACGCCGCAATCACGCCACTTCGCCTGACATATTCGGCATAACTTGTGTTTTTTTTATCCAGTCTGGCATTTCAGTTGTGAAAGCCTGAACAGTTCAAAAGGGTTTGCTAATCCAGGGGAGAGTTCTGTGAAAACAAAAGTAATAGAAGAGCCATTGCAATAAATAAGAATTTAGGTACCTAGGTACCTACTTACTGGTGCACAGTCACACGCATATCAGTCCCGACCCGACGTAGGTCGTTTGCTCCGCGGATCACGCACTTCTTCATCGTTGTTATAGGTATTTACTATTTGTTCCAACAAAAATGCCCCGATTTCGGATAACAGCCACGGCAAGGCTATAGAACTCCACGGTATAAAATATGGTATACTGCCTTGCGTAAGATAAAAATACATTTTAGCAATTGGCTACCAAACGAGATGTCATCTGTTCAGGGCATAGCATAGGTTTACTTTCATAGACCTCATGAAAGTAGCTCATGAAACTCATCACCAATCAGCGCGACGGATTTCAAGATTCGATTGCGGATGTTCATCCGCCGGCCGATTGCCAGAACAGACAACGAAAAATAACGCAACTGCTCATGGTCTGCTCGCTAGTACAGGGATCCGTGCCTGATCAGTACTGCTGCAAGCTGATTGGTTAAAAACCAAAGCCTCGCCGCGGGTGGCTGTATTGTCGGATAAGAACGCATTCCAGGGATAAGGACGCATTCCTGGCATATTTTCTTTTAAATTTGCCGATAACTACGAATGGAGGCCGAAATCGGCCGTAAGAGGTTAAACAAGTAGGTTTTCGGACACGGGCTACAAGATGGCTATCTCAGTTTCAATCCCCATGTTAAAGGTGGTCCTTTTCCTTTAACGACGATCCCAAACTACGTATCAGCACAACTTAAAACACAGAAGCCTCTTTAATCGCATTCCAACAGAAGGGTCTTTCCCCGGCTGGTCGGCCATATTACAGTAATACCATGTCTGTTGCTATACTGCTAATACTGTTGCACCATGTCTGCGGCCTGCCTGTGTAGGGGAACGGCTATCTGCTAAGACCACCCGGGCCCGCTCCCCGCACACAGCCACTGTGATCAAAGCACTTCAAACAAACCCAAAACTTCGCTTTGAATCCCAAGAAATAATCCCAATACACACTGCCGCACAAACTCCACGCGGGCTGCGACCGCATGAAACGCTCACCTTCCCCGGCCTCCCTCCCCACTCGGGGGGAGGGAGGCCGGGGCGGCTGCCTTCCGTGCGGCGGCTGACCCAGGGGGGTACGCTCCGGCTGTTTAGCATTACAAAAAATGGACGCCATTTAATTGCGTCCCAGAAAAGCTATTTCTGGCACCTAAAAGCTGACTCGCCCCAAGATTGGTCCTCAGCACCTATTTGGTGGATACCAGCACCAATCATGGAAAATGACCTTAATTAGCTGTTTCTGGCACCTATTCATCGGTACGCCTTACTCTTTTTTTCTGAATCTGGCACCTAAATGCTGAGCGTAGCACCAATCTAGTAGAAAAATGAACTACTGGCTGGTAGAATCATGTTGTTCTGGTATAATGACCCCTGGGCCCAATCTTATAAAGGTTGTGCTACCAAATGGCGTACTATCATTCCACCCCACTCTATTTACGGCACCCTATTCACGCAATCTTATAAAGAGAATGGTATGGTAATTCTATTCACGCCATTTTGCCCACAGTACAAATCAACGCCAGCAGGAAACACGCAACGTGATTGGTCAATGTCTTGTCGCCGTCGCTATTGGAAATTATGCGTACTGTTTGCGAACAGCAAAAGTTATGTGTTTTAATTTTTATGGGGCATTTATTTCTTTTAGAGACACACATATGTGTAATAAATAAATTATTTATGGAAAACGTGATAGCAAAGTATGGAAAACACCAACATGCTTGAAGAATTCGCCTGAAAAGTGGATTGCCGACCAAATAAATTTCAGCGAGGGCATTCTCGCGCTCAGAAAATCGAGTGAATAAAGTGTTTCTTAACTTATCATTTGCATTTATTTGCTGTTAAGGCATTGCAATAAATTTGTTAAAGAATTATTTAAATAATCATTTAATTATAGCTCGGCTACTCTTTCAGTAATTGAAGTAATGCCGTTGACAATGAAGCTCCTACAATTTGAGCATTAGGATATGCGTACATTAACGCATATTAATTCATTAACAATTCAAGATATAGCTTATTTTCCTTCTTGTCATAAGCTCTCGACATTTTCCTTCTTGAAGATAAACTACTAAAATTCGAAGATTACGTACATGAACTGAATTAGGTCAAGTTACAGCATATTTTCCTTCTTATTCAAGAATCAAGCATAGGTACCTATTACCTAACCTAGAGCTAAAAAGCAATTCCTCAAAAGATTGAAGAACCCAGTCTACATATCAAAGCTATATCAAGAAAAATACTCTGCTCAGAAGTCAGCTCGAGATGCAGGAAGAGAAACAACAGATTGATCCGTAACTGTGCCAGACAGAAAGTGAGGAGATATGTACGAATAGTGAGTGGGAATTTACAATTTTTTGACAAACTTAGGTATATCATTAATTTAAATATCTAATCAGAAGCCATGAAGTGCCCGTTATTTGTGTCATACGTGAGACGTGAGAATAGGCTAAAGACCCGTACCGATTCTATAATACAGTGGCTGCCGAAAATCTAAGACGGTTACTGGTGCTAAAATCCTCTTAACCCTCGCCGGCACAGGCCATTATAAGTCCTTCGACGGCACAAGGGGGGGGGATTGGTACGACCCCCCCCCCCCCTCGCGTTTGGCCCCTGATCGAGCTAGAGCTTCGCGGAAAAAACGAGCGTGTTGCCCGTCACGAGACGAAGCCGATGATACCCAATTTTAAGGTCCTAGTTCATCGGGTGACCTTCCAGGTCAGGTCAATGACCCGAAAACCGGGAAAATCGGGACCTGTTAGAAAGTCGTAAAGTGTGGCTGCTATGTGGTTTTCCGGGGTGCTGATCACGAATATCGTGTTAGTTTTGATCAGAGATGATGTCTTTAAGCATTTAGACCAGGTCGGGTCAGGTCAGGTCAGGTCAACCGGTAGGGGTTGTGACGGGTATTCGTAATACGTGTCTCAACCGCCTCGGACAGCTTCGTAACATGTTACGAAGACACCAAAACTACTTCGTAAATGTTCAAATGGTTACTAAATTCGAATTCAGCTCCGAAAACTAGCCTAGAAACATGTAAAACTCGAAAAAGTGAACCGAGGTCACCCGAGGTCACCAAAGGTCAATGACCTGACCTGACCTTCAGGTGACCTTGACACCCACCCTAATGCATGGGAGCAACATCAAATCACATGTTTGAACATTTGAAACCACGAAAAGCTTGCAAACGCGCGTCTAATGCGAGCCGACAAGCGCCGAACCGCGATTTCGGCCAAACATGGTCACAGAAAAGAGGTCACAGGTTAAAGGTCATTGGGGTCAGGGTCATGAAATTTTCAGGGTAGGTGTAAAATTGATCAATGCGAGGGTACTGAAAGTTTCGTCGCGATCAGCCGCTTTTTACGCGAGTTATTCGCGAAAAACCTTAGGGGGGTTGCATCAACCCCCCCCCCCTGTGCCGGCGAGGGTTAAAAGTCCCCTTTGAATTTGAAAAATAAAGCCATATAACGATGAACAATCGTTTTTATGTGTTTTAGTGTGCATTTAGTTCCTGGAAATACATATTTTGAAATTGATCGTTGTCTGTATAATAAGCATCATTGTAATAAATCATGAGTTAATATGTGGAGGATGTTTTAATCTTAAAATTATCATAATGTAAAATATTGCATACTTATATCATAAAAACATGGAATTTATCTTAAATCAATTGAAATGTCTGAGAAGCTCGTCAAAGTACGCTACAAATTCTGGCGTGAAATGGACGCCGCTGAAACCGCAAACAGCTGATGAGTGTCGGTGTTTTGAGATGTGCACGCTGCTCACGGTTCAAATCATTCTACAGCATCCTCAAAACCGGCGGCTACCAATACCGTAAAGAGCGTGCCGTGTTTTCGATTTCACAGAGTTTTATAAGATTGCGTACTATATATCCAGCCTTAGAGTGCTGCCATATCCATTTCACGGCGTTTATAAGATTGGGCCCTGGAGTCTAGCCTAAAGGTTGCCAGTGCAGCTACACTCTAAGACAGCCACGTAGTGATCTCAGCATTGTATATGACGTTTAAGTAAGCAAATAATATTGATTTGTTTGAAAAAAACAATGTCATTTAAATATTTTAAATTATTTATTTGCAATGCTTAAAGGGAAACATTTTTGTGAGTAATTGTCTCGATTTTGACCATTACAACGGGTATTGTATTTTTTGACGTCATCAAATAGCTCCAAAAAAGAAATGTAATGTTTTCATTCTGTTCAAGGCCGCTGAAGAAACGCGGGATCTTGCGTGGGACATTGTCCGTTGTTTGCCGCGCAGAGTTGTGCCGTGGTTGTGCCTTTTTCATCCGTTTCTTGCTTATGTGTGCATGAAGCTTTGATTTTGTTTTTGGTTATTGTGTGGCCGGTCAGTCAAACGCCCCTGTAGAAACGGGATGCTGCGTTTGATCGAGATGGAGTCAGACGATGATTGCAGAAAGCTAATAATATTGAAAAGAGGGCCGGTTGCGTGGCATGTCAGTTCAGAGTTGACATTTTGCTTTACTCCAGTTTATGACCTGAGAGCCTGGCTGGAAGTGACGGATCCAAACTTTTCACGTTAAAATGGCTGAGGGTGCAATAATCTCTACATAGCGGGCTGGTATAGGAGCGTCTTGCTATGCTGCACCATTGGCTAGAAATGGCATTAATCATTATCTCCACTGGCGAAAATGGCACTTGACATCACCGAATGCAACGTTCATGTTTGTTAGGATACATAAAATCAGGAAGATTACGCGAATTAGGTAGGCAAACGTGGAATAAAATAGGTGCTGGATGTTTTGGTTTTGGTGCTGAATCAGCAAACAGCAAATACGGAGTTCAACTAGACGATCTGGCAACTTTAGGCTGTGTGGAAGCAATTAGGTGCCAGATTCAGATGTTAGGGTCGAATAAGCATTTTGGGGCTGATCAGCAATTAGGTGCCAGAAACAGCTTTTTAGGGACCAGAAACAAATATTCCCCCCAAAAAATGGTGACAGACGTTTGTGGAGGATTGTCGACGAACTCTTGTTCCGCGAGCAGTACTTACACGCTAGCGGAAAATTCACCAATCAGCGCTCGGCAGTACTCGACGCTGATTGGTCCGACGCTCGTGACGAAATTGCGGGGACCGCAGTTATTCTCTATGGACCCGAATAGGCTTTTGGATTTCGGAGGAGTTTCTTTAAAATTATATGCTGTTTGGAGC